CCCTCTGATCAATGTTTATAAACAATGTTACTTTGTATGTCTCTATCTTCCTCTGATCAATGTTTATAAACAATGTGACTTTGTATGTCTCTATCTCCCTCTGATCAATGTTTATAAACAATGTTACTTTGTATGTCTCTATCTTCCTCTGATCAATGTTTATAAACAATGTTACTTTGTATGTCTCTATCTTCCTCTGATCAATGTTTATAAACAATGTTACTTTGTATGTCTCTATCTTCCTCTGATCAATGTTTATAAACAATGTTACTTTGTATGTCTCTATCTTCCTCTGATCAATGTTTATAAACAATGTTACTTTGTATGTCTCTATCTTCCTCTGATCAATGTTTATAAACAATGTTACTTTGTATGTCTCTATCTTCCTCTGATCAATGTTTATAAACAATGTTACTTTGTATGTCTCTATCTTCCTCTGATCAATGTTTATAAACAATGTTACTTTGTATGTCTCTATCTTCCTCTGATCAATGTTTATAAACAATGTTACTTTGTATGTCTCTATCTTCCTCTGATCAATGTTTATAAACAATGTTACTTTGTATGTCTCTATCTTCCTCTGATCAATGTTTATAAACAATGTTACTTTGTATGTCTCTATCTTCCTCTGATCAATGTTTATAAACAATGTTACTTTGTATGTCTCTATCTTCCTCTGATCAATGTTTATAAACAATGTTACTTTGTATGTCTCTATCTTCCTCTGATCAATGTTTATAAACAATGTTACTTTGTATGTCTCTATCTTCCTCTGATCAATGTTTATAAACAATGTTACTTTGTATGTCTCTATCTTCCTCTGATCAATGTTTATAAACAATGTTACTTTGTATGTCTCTATCTTCCTCTGATCAATGTTTATAAACAATGTTACTTTGTATGTCTCTATCTTCCTCTGATCAATGTTTATAAACAATGTTACTTTGTATGTCTCTATCTTCCTCTGATCAATGTTTATAAACAATGTTACTTTGTATGTCTCTATCTTCCTCTGATCAATGTTTATAAACAATGTTACTTTGTATGTCTCTATCTTCCTCTGATCAATGTTTATAAACAATGTTACTTTGTATGTCTCTATCTTCCTCTGATCAATGTTTATAAACAATGTTACTTTGTATGTCTCTATCTTCCTCTGATCAATGTTTATAAACAATGTTACTTTGTATGTCTCTATCTTCCTCTGATCAATGTTTATAAACAATGTTACTTTGTATGTCTCTATCTTCCTCTGATCAATGTTTATAAACAATGTTACTTTGTATGTCTCTATCTTCCTCTGATCAATGTTTATAAACAATGTTACTTTGTATGTCTCTATCTTCCTCTGATCAATGTTTATAAACAATGTTACTTTGTATGTCTCTATCTTCCTCTGATCAATGTTTATAAACAATGTTACTTTGTATGTCTCTATCTTCCTCTGATCAATGTTTATAAACAATGTTACTTTGTATGTCTCTATCTTCCTCTGATCAATGTTTATAAACAATGTTACTTTGTATGTCTCTATCTTCCTCTGATCAATGTTTATAAACAATGTTACTTTGTATGTCTCTATCTTCCTCTGATCAATGTTTATAAACAATGTTACTTTGTATGTCTCTATCTTCCTCTGATCAATGTTTATAAACAATGTTACTTTGTATGTCTCTATCTTCCTCTGATCAATGTTTATAAACAATGTTACTTTGTATGTCTCTATCTTCCTCTGATCAATGTTTATAAACAATGTTACTTTGTATGTCTCTATCTTCCTCTGATCAATGTTTATAAACAATGTTACTTTGTATGTCTCTATCTTCCTCTGATCAATGTTTATAAACAATGTTACTTTGTATGTCTCTATCTTCCTCTGATCAATGTTTATAAACAATGTTACTTTGTATGTCTCTATCTTCCTCTGATCAATGTTTATAAACAATGTTACTTTGTATGTCTCTATCTTCCTCTGATCAATGTTTATAAACAATGTTACTTTGTATGTCTCTATCTTCCTCTGATCAATGTTTATAAACAATGTTACTTTGTATGTCTCTATCTTCCTCTGATCAATGTTTATAAACAATGTTACTTTGTATGTCTCTATCTTCCTCTGATCAATGTTTATAAACAATGTTACTTTGTATGTCTCTATCTTCCTCTGATCAATGTTTATAAACAATGTTACTTTGTATGTCTCTATCTTCCTCTGATCAATGTTTATAAACAATGTTACTTTGTATGTCTCTATCTTCCTCTGATCAATGTTTATAAACAATGTTACTTTGTATGTCTCTATCTTCCTCTGATCAATGTTTATAAACAATGTTACTTTGTATGTCTCTATCTTCCTCTGATCAATGTTTATAAACAATGTTACTTTGTATGTCTCTATCTTCCTCTGATCAATGTTTATAAACAATGTTACTTTGTATGTCTCTATCTTCCTCTGATCAATGTTTATAAACAATGTTACTTTGTATGTCTCTATCTTCCTCTGATCAATGTTTATAAACAATGTTACTTTGTATGTCTCTATCTTCCTCTGATCAATGTTTATAAACAATGTTACTTTGTATGTCTCTATCTTCCTCTGATCAATGTTTATAAACAATGTTACTTTGTATCTCTCCATCAAACTGGCTGCAGGATAAAAAATGAATCTAATTACTGCTGGAATTTGGAAATTAAAATAAAAGGGCAATAGTGCAAAGGTTTGTACACCCGGGTTACAGGACTGCAGCTGCGTTTCCTAGTTCCGGGAATTTTCCGGGACCGCTGTCAGGTGAGTAGGGTGCTTACCGGAAGGTTCCGGCTGCTGCCACTTGGCGGATGAGGATGGGGAAGCGTTGCAGGACGGGGCTGTAGCGGGAGGTGGAGGAGTCCAGCTGGAGCAGGGAGTGCAGGTGGCAGCACAGCAGGTAGAGTTGGGTGGCGTGCAGATACTGAGAGGCCTCCATAGAGCTCCAGATCTTCTCCGGGATCTCCAGCAGAAGTTTGATCTGAGCGGCCATGCAGTAGAATCTCTCCTGTGACTGGAAGACGAGGACACAATGAGACAGCGAAGGACCGTCCAAAGATTCAACATGAGCACCCCTGTACACACACAGAGCACCCCTCACCCCAGTACACACACAGAGCACCCCTCACCCCTGTACACACACACA